AATGAAGGGGGGAAATCGGAGGGGGAGATGAACCATGAGAGACGGTGGACTCTGAAAAACAAACTGAGGGTTCTAGAGGGGAGGGGGGTGGGAGGATAGGTTAGCCTGGTGATGGGTATAAAAGAGGGCACATTCTGCATGGAGCACTGGGTGTTATAGACAAACAATGAATCATGGAACACTACATCAAAAACTAATGATGTAATATATGGTGATTAACATAATAATAAAAAATAAAAAAAGAAAGAAATGATTAAGTAAAAAAAAAATAAAAATAAATTAATACTGGGATAAAGAGATAGTCAATCACATGAATAGGGAGCTCCTGAAGAAATATCAGATTAGGGATAGGGACCCTTTATATAAAAGCAACAGAGTTAGGGATCTCTTTGGAATCTTAGGTGTCCTATAGAACCCACAAAAATACACATATGCCAATACACCCAAAATTTCACATGAAATTTTAGGGTTTTCATTAGATCTTTAGAGGTTCAGGGACCACTGGGTCAAGCATGTCTGCTTTCAAAGTTGGGACCAACATTATTTCACGTGTCTATAACTATTGTTTAAAAACTGAGTGCAGAGTGAATCCTCTGTGACATTAAATTCTTAAGGAAACAATATACAAAACAATTGTAATTCACAGCATATCTCACATAGTCAGAAAGGAAAGTGACAGATAAGGAATATGTGAGCAAATATGTATTCTAATATTCTGGTGATATCAGCAAGGCATTTATATATAATAAACAATGTCTGAAAAGGAATGGCCTCTGCCTTTGTGAATAGTAGTTTTGCCAATGAAATGTTGAGAACCACCAGGAAAGGGTACTGGAGAGGAAAATAATCTGGAACTAAAAATATGCTCTTTGTGCAAAATCTAACACAAGGGCAAATGTAAGGAAGGATGACAGTGTGAGAGAAGGTCTAGTAAAAGACAATTCAAGTGATCAAGTAAAGACCACTTGGGTTAAGGTTTAAGAAAATTAATGATGGCTCCATATTGAGTTCTAGGGTAAATGAAGATATCTTGGGAAGCAGTCTTAACCTTATGGACTTCATATTAAGGATAATATGCTTTCCTACATCATCTCTGAAGCAATGTTAGAAACATATTGAGTCAAACAGGTCTGACACAAGACATAAGACTTTGAAAAATGCCAAATGCATGCTAACATTTCAATTAAGAGCAAAGTGTACTTTAAAAAAAAGGAATGCACAGCCAACAACCATGAGTTGATTCTACCTTCTGATTTAACACTGATAAATTAATAGCTAATAAATGACTAAGTTCTAACAATAATTGTATCCGTAATTTTACTATCCATAAACAAAAATTAGTGGTGCAGTTTAAATGTAATAATACTTACTATGACTTAGTAACAAGCTTCTATACACATAAAGTTATTCCTTAATTAGGAGACTCTGGAGTTCCAAAATACCTTTTCCAAAATTTAATTCTCTTTTCCCATCTATGTTAAGTGAGCTAAGGAGAGTTCTTCATTGCTTTAACTTACTGCCATCAGTCTAAATTTAAGCTCACATTATACTCTCATTAAGTATGAACTGTAATACATTACCTCAGCAAACTGAAATAACGGGGACTTCTGACGTAATTCAGGGGATTCTGAAACATCCTGCCTACAAGTGCCAGAGGATATCTGAAACAAAGAAAGATGGTATGAGGCATCATAGGGATAGTTTCTGGAAGACAACAGATGACAAATGCCACCTCAAATATTCCTATTTGAGGAGAGAATAGTTTTCATTCCCCCAACTGAAGCAACCTATGACAAAACAGCAGTTATAGTCTGCAAAGCTTTATACAAAGTGCCATCCAACAGTTAAATAATGCAATAAAAAGCAGGAGATGGACGAGACAACGCATTTTAGAAAAGTTAATATACAATGAAGAGAAATTTCTACAACAATGCCCATCTGATCTCTTGGCTTTCTGCCACCAATTCCAAAAAATATCTACTTCTTTCGCATTCTATGTTTCCCCAATGTTTTATATCACCTAACTACATGAAAACACAAATGGGATTTGATAATATAAACCATTTGGGAAAATAAAACTGAAGTCAAATTCTTGTTTTCTAGGTGTTCATGTGTTTATACACAAACCCTAATCATAGAGAAGTTAGTATTTACCTAAGAATAATTTCTTTTATAATATATATTTTCTTTTGCACTATTCACTACATTGGGTAAACATTTAGTGCTCTATAATCTTCATTTGCGATCTTTATTACTAACAACAGTTATAGAAATGCCACTGGATTTTTAAAAAAATTTTGTTATTAATCAAGTACTCTTGTCAGGACACACAACTTCCTTCTTTTACCTCATTGCTGTTTCTGACCTATTTCTGCATTTGGGTGACATAATCACTTAGGAAGCCAAATGTAATTCAAAAGTCTTGAGAGTCACAGAATGTTGAGAGAACGATATTGTTATTCCTCAGATCTGACCCTTTTTACAGATGAAGGAACTTAGGACCAGAAAAGTAAACAACACCTCCCCTCCCCAACATTCAATAATTCCCTTATTTTTACTTATCACCACAAGACATAAACATTTATTTATCATCCATCTTCTTCCTGGGGCTCTGTTTAATAAAGAATGCTCAACATTGCCCGCTCACAATGTCAACAAGCATTTTTTAAATAAACTAAAAAAAAGTTTGACATGTCTTCTAAATCCTAAATCAGTGTGTTCTCTCAGCCCCCTTCCTAAATGACAAGGTTTGGAAGTCTTAGGGAAAAAGTTATTTTTTACTATAGAGGAAAAACAAGTTAAAAATTGTTTTAAATAAGCATGTTTCTGACAGGGACGCCTGGGTGGCTCAGTCGGTTAAGTGTCTGCCTTGGGCTCAAGTCATGATCCCAGGGTCCTGGGGTCGAGCCCCGCATCGGGCTCCTTGCTCAGTGGGGAGCCTGATTCTCCCTCTGCCTGCCGCTCCCCCCTGCTTGTGCTCTCTGTCAAATAAACAAAAAAATCTTAAAAAAAAATTTTCTGACAATAAAAAAATCAAAGTTCACTGTTGCATCTGAAAAAAAAAACCCCACCAAAATACAGAAGAAAAATCATCTACAGTGCTATCTGCAAAAGCACTGCTAATACTCATAAATATTCTCCCAGTTGTGTACAATAACTTCATCAAAAATGAGACACTGTAGTAAGTTAAAGAATGCTTTTTTTAAACAATACATAATTTTTCCTGTGTTAGTAAACCTTTTCCAATGTAATTTTAAGAGCTTCATATGATTATGTTAGGTGGTTGAATCCTATAGAAACAGCTTTCACCCAGATTATGTTCCTAAAAATGGAGTTTCTCACTGAACCTCTTCATTAGACACTGAAGATGTGTTTCTCTAACATTGTCATAGGTCATTGGGCAGGAACCAGTGTTTGAAATTTTAATTGTCACCTTTGTATTTGAAAGAGTAATGGCCACCTTCTTCCAGTGATGAACTCCAGAGAAGGTGCAGAAGCTTTCATTCATTTGCCACCTGTGGTATGGCCGCCAAAGACTGGCTCCCTGTCACTTGACTATTTGACAAATTGTATGCCAAATGGCCCAATGGTGTTTTTATTTGCTTCCCAAGAATTTGAAGCCAAGGAGACACAAAATGCCCTAAAAAGAAGGCCAGTGCATTCTGAAATTACTAGCCACAAAGAATTCCTTCATTGAAAGGACTACTTGAACAAAATATAGCTTTGTTTAGGAATGATGAAGAAAAATCAATACTATCTTGGTTTGTAAAGAAATCCTTTATGTGTAGCTCCTAGGTATCTTGGTAAATAATAAAAATTTTATTTAAAATCAAGCCTAGGATTAAATTAAAATTATGAAGTGTTTTAAAATGTAATAATATAGGTTGCACATGTGACATAATCTACGAAAGATATTTGGAATCAAATATATTTAGGGTAACTACACTGCATAAAGTCTATATAACATGTATTCTTACTTCAGATGGTTATTTCATGATACACGAGAAAGTTACCAGTTATGAGGAAATTAGTTACCCTATGACTTAGAGTTCATATGAACTATAAGAAGAAAAGTCAACTTTCTCTTCAAGTGCTGTTTATAGATTATTTGGCCATAACTACATAAGTCACAAAATTTTAAAGTTAAATGAGACCCTCTGCAAATCATTATAATGGATGGTCATAAATAAAACTTTCTATTTGAATAGATAATTCAAATGTAAGTAATTATCAAGGCAACTGTAATCCTCCACACATTGTATTAATTGGGCTATGAAATCAAAGAAGTCTATATACGCATGTTTGTGCTCACCATGCACCCGATACATAGTAGATGTACAATGAGTATCTGTTGACTGACTTGATTCTGTGTGTGTATGGATACAAAGAATCTCAATGACCTGGCCAGGAATCAGACGACAAAGACTGACCAATGGTTAAAATAGCAGTAACAGAATCACTAAGGCTATGCATCTTACTCTAAGACGTCTGGCAAAATCCAGTTACTCTTTACTCATTAAGTTTAAGGCATTAGTTACTCTTAACTTTAAAGCACTGTGGATTTAGCATATATTTTCAGTGTACTCTAAGGGAAACAGCACAAAATTAGGAGCCAGGAGAACTGGGTTCCTACTAGCTATGTGGTTACCTGCCTCTCTGGTCCACAGCAGAATCAGAAGCCGCAAATGAGAAGGGGCCCTGAGCAGGGATAATAGGAAGAGGGCTGCAAAAGAAACAGTAACAGCAGCAAAAGCAGGGAGAACACAGAAAAACTGTAAAGAACAGACACAAATGTTTTATAAAGCACTGCGGTCTATCTAAAAGAAATTAGAGTAAAGAGTCTCAAAGTGTCTCCTGAAGGCTTCAGTTCATTGCAGTAATTAATATTCATAACTATGGTTCTAAGTTGTCAAGATAAGGATAATTATAAAATATAGCCTTTTTAAAAGGCAGAAATGCGTGTGATACATGCTAGGCATATTTCCACCAAAAATCTCAAAATGTAAATATGGCTCAATGACATGGAAAATGTATGTATGTAGAAATTCATTTCTGTGTGCTTGACAAATAAGGCATCTGATGCAGAGGTGGACATTTGTGCATGTACTGATAAATATACACATTTGGTAAAGAAATCTGGGATTATATCCACATAAAAGTAAGAGAGTATTTTGCACACAAGGCTCCTATTTAAGTATTAGTCAGAGGGTCCCAGACCTTATTACCTTGCTATTTGTATTTAAAGTATTCCAAATTACTTATTACATGGGACATGCTTTTTATGGATAAATATCAATTCCTCAAATCTCCATTCCTATGCTGGGCCAGCTTACTTTCTAAACAGAATATACAAGAGTCAAAGATACCACTTCATTAAGAGGAAAGAAAATATACCAAATAAGCAGAGGTTAAATAAAGGGAGAAAAAAAAAACCCAAAAGCTGTTCCTAGAGTCTCTGAAATAATCCATAAAGCCACTAGGTGTAGCTATCTGCCCAAGAAACAAACAGCTAAAGGGATTTTTAAATGCAAAGTTTTGTTAATGTCCCTTAAATCCAATCTTCCCTTTGATTTAGCTATAATTCTCAATAACCAAGAAAGAGGAATTATTAGCATAATTAAGAATTACAACAAAGTAGTATCTTTTCCCACAAGCACACCTGACATCGTGCAAACACAAGATAACAGAAACGTGATCCAGCCTCCTGATATAAAACAAGATCACACCAGTTAGATGCACTAGAAGTGCTTTGGAAAGCTAAGCAGTAGCACCAGCCTGTTCCTACCTCACAAGGCGCAAGACTACAGCCCCACACAGCTGGATTCTGATAAACACACGGTCAACAAAAAGGGTAAGTGCACTGGTTTTATCTGAACTACACATTTCTGCCCTTGCTATTTCAAACATTTGTTGATACTCAGCTCCTTCAACAAATACTCAATAAAAACCCACCACGCGCCAGCCACAAACACTGCTCACTGCTTTTAAGAAGCTTACACTCCACTTGTATGCATTATGTGCTGGGGAATAAAATGATAACTAAGGGACTGTGTCTGGCCCTCACGTGGCCTGCAATCCGAGTCAGGGGACAGCTACACAGTTAGGATGTAAGTGCACGGTGGCAGAACACAGTGGCAGGGGAAGGCCTCTGAGAACAGAAAGGCAGCCTTCACTCCTTCTGGGATAGGTAGAAGTTGTTAAGACAGTGACATCTGAGATATACCTAGGAGAAGACACCAGAATTGTGGAAATGATGTGGCAGCAGCAGGTGGAAAAGTATGGAAGCAGGTGCCCTGTGTTCTTGAGAAACAATGACTTTCTCAGTGCGGATGAAGAGTAGAAGTCGGGGAGTGTAGTGGGAGATGAATCGAACTGAGAGAAATTTGAATTCTCTGTTACAAAGTTTGAAAAATCAGGCTGAAGGCAATGGGGAGCCAGCCAAGGTTTTCACTCAGAGGAGTGGCATGATGAGAGAGAGGTAGTTTGATAATTCTGTCAGTGGAGTGCAGGATGACCTTGGCTGGGAAATGACTGGAGGCAGGAGACCAATTAGAAGGTTAAAAAAATAAACCAGCTGAGATGTGGGGCCCCAATTAAATCAGAGATGGTATTGACCAGGCCCCAGTAATTGCCTGGAAGGATGTCAGGGCTGGGGAAAGGG